TTTTGGTGAATATTTTTATCATTTTTGGTAAAAAGTGATATTTTTGACTTCTTGTTAAAAACCGCAAGTCCAATTGCTTTGATACTACATATATAGGTACTACATGTGGACCTCTCTCAGATTTGTTCATTTCGAGATGATATCTTCAATTCTCTAATTTTGGTGAATATTTTTGTAATTTTTGGTAAAAAGTGATATTTTCGACTTCTTGTTAAAAACCACAAGTCCGATTGCTTTGATATTACATATATAGGTACTACATGTGGACCTCTCTCAGATTTGTTCATTTTGTGATGATGTCTTCAATTCTCTAATTTTGGTGAATATTTTTGTAATTTTTGGTAAAAAGTGATATTTTTGACTTTTTGTTAAAAACCAATAGTTCAATTGCTTTGATATTACATATTTAGATACTACATGTAGACCTTTCTCAGATTTGTTCATTTCGTGATGATATCTTCGATTCTTTAATTTTGGTGAATATTTTTGACTTTTTGTTAAAAACCAATAGTTCAATTGCTTTGATATTACATATATAGGTACTACATGTGGACCTCTCTCAGATTTGTTCTTCAATTCTCTAATTTTGGTGAATATTTTTGTAATTTTTGGTAAAAAGTGATATTTTCGACTTCTTGTTAAAAACCAAAAGTTCAATTGCTTTGATATTACACATATAGATACTACATGTAGACCTTTCTCAGATTTGTTCATTTCGTGATGATATCTTCAATTCTCTAATTTTGGTGAATATTTTGGTCATTTTTGAGAGAAAGTGATATTTTCGACTTCTTGTTAAAAACTGTAAGTTTGATTGCTTTGATACTATACATATTGTTCATTTTCTTATGATGTCTTCAGTTCTTTAATTGAAATGTGCATTGCTAACAGCGGAGCTATCTCAGCCGATAGGCTGCTTGTGTATAAACAGTTTCATTGATTCTAGTACAGCAGATATGATTATTCGATATGCACATCATCGTTAATGTGTGAACCTACGGGTGCGTGAATTAATTATTTAAATTACCGGTACCGTAACTCCCATAATTTGAAAGTGTATAATACAAGTGTGAATAATATCACATGCCTTCGTGCACATGATGAGGATACGTATCAGACTGTGACATCCATCATACCTTAGGTGAGGCCAAAATGTTATTTATCTTGCTTCGTGTCTGGAACTTCAAATTAACAAGTTGTTACGTATATGTCTTTTTAATTTATTTAATGTAACTGACCTTATTTAATTCATGACCTTATGCTGATCTTACGAGTACATGTATGATCTCAATTACGTATTTATAGAATTACGAATGTCACCTGCATGGCTGGATTAAACTCTGGGTTTTGACGGTTATTACGGATCATTATGATATTTTAACCAATTGAAACCTGACAGCCTTGCTGAGGTGTGGTGGTCCACTCACTGAGTGATCGTAACTTCGTAGTGTCAAGTTTCTGCAAGGTTAGCCGGCGCCATGCTGTAGATGCGGAGCTTTCGGTCCGAGCTTGCTGTTGGGTCTTTATTACTGCTGTAGTAAAAACTACTGTGTCATGAATGTCCACGCACAAAGAGCTGATACTAGCAAGGGAGTGTTGGAGAGGGACAGTTATTTACATTGCACTAGTTGTTGCGTGCCATCTTACATGTTGGCCATGCACATTTAGTGTTGTGTTATGTGTACAGATCCATACACAATTTGTACTTGTGTGTCTGGGTGGTAGATTGAAATCATTTTGTCAGTATTAACGTACTTTTACACATAGATGAAATGACTTAATGCTTTCAGTTTTGCATGATTTTTTGTTCGTGAATAAAGTTTTTGTATTGTGCAAGACCTATTGTACACAATAGAGCAGCCATATTTCTATTATAGAAAATGTCTAAACACTGTACAGTATGGACTGTATTATTGTGTGCATAAAGTCTCTTATTTCAATGACATGTATCAGCCGATTTAATCCAAACCATTTTTTTGTTGAAATTGTACTTGGCTCGCTGTAGCTGCGACATATACAGTCAAATTCGATTTGTACTTTGTATAGGAACAAAGGCATCATTGATTTAGACGGGCACTTTTATTTGAAATTCTCAAGCTTGTCTTTAATATGATCTGGCAACTTTTATTTTTAATTAATTCTTGTATGCTGGTATATTGTCACATTCTGTTAAAAAATGGCCGATTGGTGGCCATTTAGTTTTTAGACATACACATTTTGCTGTGATTATCAATATTTTAGTTCTAACATTGAAATATTTTCTCTTGACAGATAATTTAATTTCAACCATACCACATGTTAAAATGTTCAGTAAAGTTGATGCCAAAAAGAAAAATGATCTATTGGATAAGGCTAAGGTCGCCCGTGAAGAGAGGGCACATCAGAAGAACAAAGAAACGGTGATAATAGCCATACAGGTAGGAAGAGGAATAGTTTTTTGGGGAATTCATATGCTCAGGTTCAATTTCTCTTTTGAATAATTAGTTTTATGATAAAGCTAATTTGATTAATGCATATCAATTTTTCAAAATGAACCTGAAAATGAAATATTTGAATGATGATTTTTATGATAAAGCTAATTTGTGTTGATGTTTTAAAATGAAGCTAATTTGATTAATCCATATAAATTTTTCAAAATGAACCTGAAAATGAAATATTTGAATACTGAATTTTATGATCAAGCTAATTTGCATCGATGATGTAAAATGAAGCTAATTTGATTAATCCATATAAATTTTTCAAAATGAACCTGAAAATGAAATATTTGAATGATGAGTTTTATGATAAAGCTAATTTGTATTATTGTTTTAAAATGAAGCTAATTTAGCTGATTTGTATCCATATAAATTTTTCATAATGAACATGATTTGTATTATCAATATTCTCCTAGCTAATCTCTGTTACTGATGTTTCAATATGTTTCAAATTTTCAGTGTTTCAAAATGAGCTTAATTTTCATCTAATCTATGTTCTTTACCAAGATGATGCTAAGTTAGCTAATTTGACTCTAGTGTAGCTATTGAATTCATGTTTCAGGATAATTTAGCTAATCTGTATCTTTGATGTTTTAAGGTAAAACTATTTTAGCTCCGAAGTCTGTATTCTGAAGATTTCAAGGTTATAATTTCAATAAACCCAATAAAAGTATGTTAATTAATTTTTTTATTTCTGTTTCAGGCTGTTGTAAGAGGATATCTAATTAGATGTCAAATTAGACGTCAAATTACAAGTGAGCTTCAACAAATTGTTGACACTGTTCAACTGGAAGATGGCAAAGTGGCCAAACCCAAATTTAGACCAGGTATTAGGAATTGTTGTATTTTCCAATCGTTGCCAACAGTATTTTGTGGACGACCGATTCACATCAGCAACTTCAAACTTATCGTTATTTGCTAATACTGCATTCTGATTCTATTAGACTGTGTCATGCTGGTGATAATGTGTTTCTTAGGCATGTTATTGTTTTGAAATTCGTCCATCCTATAATGTAATTTACTATTTTACTTGATTTTGTGCACATGTGATGCGGCTTGTTGTGGAATATTCTGCGTAATATTCTTGTAAAAATAATTTTGCACATTGAACATTCAAATTGATTCCTCACATGGATTCACATTGCAAAAACGACCACAGTTGCCTGTTTCTGTATTGAAATAGCCATCCATAGCCACACTAAACATTCCAGAAGGTTGGATTGAAGGTCCAAATTCAGGTGAACAAAAGGAGGGCAGTGTTCATGTATTTTTTTTAATGTAACAGTATCATGCTTTTATTTATTTTTATTTTTTTTTACAGCGATTGATTTGTACAAAGCTGTCAAAAAATTTGTTATTATTTTCAATGAGAAGAAAGATAAAGAGGTTAGTTTGAGTTTGTGTTTATAAGAGTAATA